TATTCTTTTGTTTTTATATTTTGTTAATTCTTTTTTATAAATAATTTATTTGAAATATTAAATAGAAATTATTAATGGAATAATCTATATTAATATACTATATTATATTAATATAATATACTAATATATTATATTTTTAATGTGCATTAGTCGACATCCTGTCGACATAATAGGAAAAACTGTATTTTTTTTGGTTATTTGGACCGATTTGGTCGACATTTCTGATATATAGGAAATGTCGACCGACATAATGTAATTTTTATATTACCATCCATCTTCATGTCGGTGAGCCTCGACATCGACATATGTCGGGTGACATTAGTGACATTTGGCGACATTTGAAACCATGCTTTGCATAATGGTTGAGTTTGCATCTGGTTTGTACTCCCAATCTTCTATTGAAAGAGAAGAAAATTATGTTCACTGATAGAGACTGTCTAGAGATATGACTCATCTCCTGCCTCCCCCATACCAAATAACACATGGATACATGCACTCGCAAAAATCATGGATAAAAAATTATTAAACCAAAAAGAAAAGAACTTTGGGGACCTGTGGAGTTAATTGCATACTCTCTTTTAATGAATGAACTAGAATGGCATAATAATATAGCCAAAAGTGGCAACTATGTGATTGATGAAGGGTGTTTTTCCATACTGCCTAAGTTGCATTAGTACATCATTTATTTTTGTTTGTTTGAATACTGCTCATAATTGTACCTCATAGCTTCCCTCATCCCTTAAGTGAATGAGAGTTTTGGTTTGAGGAAAATCGTCAGAAATTATACATCCTGTGATACTTCCTGATGAACTTCAACGTTGTGATAGTTTGATTTTATGTTTTTCTACAATGCTTTTCTATTTTGTTGCAAGACGCATTTGCTTCTTTTACTTTGCTAGGTCTGTCTTCAAAGCTAATTCATGTTGCATTATTCTCTATTTTGGTATTTATGAGCTCCATGTAAATCCTTGTTATTTATGTATTGTCAGGGAAGACGATGGAGTGATGGACTTCACCAGGCAGTTGAAGCAAAAGAAGGTCTTCCCATTCAAAATGAAACTGTTACACTGGCATCAATTAGCTACCAAAATTTCTTTCTCCAGGTGGGAACAGCTCTTTTTTACCTCACTAAGTTAAGCATATATGGAAGTTTATACTTTCCTTCTAAATTGCCATTGTTTTTTTACTGATGCAGTTCCCAAAACTTTGTGGTATGACTGGCACTGCAGCAACTGAAAGCACAGAATTTGAGAGTATATACAAGCTTAAAGTCACAATTGTGCCCACAAATAAGCCTATGATAAGAAAGGTTTGCTTTGTTGGAGTTATTCTATTTCCTTCAATCTCATCATTTGCCAAAGGTGGTTTATTTGGGAGTATATACACGATTAACACTGAACTAGGGGTGCAAGTCAGGCAGATTGGGCTAGGTTTAAGCTTAACCTGGGCCCAACCTAAGAATTGGGCCTAAGGCTCGAGCCTGGACAGAGCCTGTGGTCAAGCTCGATCTGTCCAACCTGGGCCCAGCCCACACTAAAATTTGATGCACTCGGTTTGGGCTCAGGCCTGAGCCAGGCTCAGGTTGGTCAATAAGCCAGCACTAAAATTTGTCATAAATGTATATGTGATTGTATGCACGTATGCGAATATGTGTCTACAACTCTACATATGCATGTATATAGTTGGGCTGGGTTCATGCTATATAAGGGCTAGGCATGTTTTGAAAATCGTAATCGTATTGTAAATCATAGAGAAGGTTGAATTGAATTGAATTGTGAATTGTATCATAAATCATGAGATTATCTCTATTTTTTACAAACTTGTCAAAAAAAATCAAATATAGATATACTAGAAGACTAAATATATATGGGAAACTGATTTTACCCTATTTTAACCCATATCTACCATATATGGTCTTAGACAACACAAATAAATCATTCTCTAGTAAGGGCTTATACAAGTCTCCCTTGACAAGACTAAATATAAACAAAAATAAAAATAAAGTAGAGAAATAATTCTTAATTGAACTTACGTGAATCACTGTGAATCATAGGAATCATATAAATCATAAGATTTGTGATCAAATCATAGGGTTCAAACAAAAATCGTAAACCAAACCAAAACTGTAAACTGTAATTTAGAAAGATGCCAAACTGAACCAAACCGTTTTGCAGTATAAACCAAACTGCACCACAAATTTGGTTTGGTTCAGTTTAGTTTTGTGGTTTGGACCATACAATGAACACCCTTAGGCCCTTGGAGACTTGTGCACTTCCTACATGAGACTTGTGACCTTTCAGCCTCCTTGAACTGCATTTTAGATGGATCCCAAAGGAAATGGATTCCATTGCTTATGCACTAGCCAAATCTGTGATGGAGAGGAATTTTCTGTAAATAACTAAATACATTGCCCATGTAGTTCTTGATGTAACTAGAGGCTTTTTGTTTCTTGGTTGTACATTCTCATGTAGATTCCCCTCCTTTCTTTTTTTCCTTGAAATGAAAGTTGCTTTTTCTCAAAAAAGTCAAAAACTAAATTTGGTGATAAATTTTTTACAAGATCACACTGTTTTCTATCTGCAGTCACTTTGTGCAAAAACAAAAAAAAAGAAAAAAAAAAAGAAAAGCCAAAGGTTAGGTCCGTATATCCAGTCTACCACTCTCAAGACCCCAGATTGCTGGGGCCATCATTGGGTAATGGCCTTTTACTGTTTTCTGTTTGCACCTCTAATGAGAAGCTTCTTTAGACTTGTCAGGGTTTTTCATTATTTGAAGCTGACAAGTTTTCAAGACTTCAGAGAGCTCAATAATGAATTTGAAATGGAAAGGATCACCCTTACAAGGATTTTATAAAAATGGAAGTTACAATGACAACACTAAGAATGGGAAAATAACAAAGTAAAGAGAAAAAGGCATTCACTAAAAAAGTTAACTGTATTCCACTACCACAAGTCAGAGAACTACTCCATTGTTCTCCATAACAAAAAAATGGAAGGGGGGGGGGTCGGTTTATAATCCTGTTCAAGGATTTCAACAACTCAGGATGAAGTCTCTGTTTTATTTATTTCTTTGCATCTTTTATGAAGGATGGGTTGGTCTGGTTTAGTGAAATAAAAGCATAACATTTCATTTAGATATAATATGCTAAAGTTACTATTTTCAGATACTGGGTGGATATTTCTAGGAAGTTTTTAAAATTATAATTCTACCATTGTTTTTTTTTTCAATTCCTCACAATGTCCATACTTGTTACTCAAAGCAGGTAAATGGTTTGGACCTTCTAGATGTTAGATGCTTTAGTCAGTTTGGATTGACAGAATTAAATGGCTTATCAGGATCCACCTTGCTGACCAAAGTGGTTATAATAATGTTCAGTTGAGTTGAGCTGAATAAGCTAATTTTAAATGATATATAACTATGTGAAATTTGTTGTAAGAATTCAATCTAGCCGTGTTGGTATTTTTGATAAGATTCTCATATTGTATTTATCCTGGATATGGAGAATCAATCCCTGTTTCCCATATTTGTGTCCTGTCTATGCCCATAACTTAATCATATCTGGGTATCTTAGATTGGAAGAGTAGAAGCTCGTCTAAGTGTAGAGTTATTTGTACATTAATTTGAGGCACTCTTGGGATTGATTCAGTATTTGTATTTACTTCTTTGTCTTCCTTTCAGGATGAGTCAGATGTAGTTTTCAGGGCAACCACTGGAAAGTGGCGGGCAGTTGTGGTTGAAGTTTCTAGAATGCACAAGACAGGCCGACCTGTGCTTGTGGGCACAACTAGTGTTGAACAGAGTGATGCATTGTCAGAACAGTTGTGTGAATCTGGGATTCCCCATGAGGTGAGATCTGATTAATCATTATAAATAATATATTGTATTAGCTGAACAAAGTCTGAATTATATCTAGGTTTTTAATTAGAAATATTTAGTTTTATGTCATTCTCTGCTAGAATTGGGTTATAGCAAAGAGTAACTGGTGCATTAATTTTTCTGCACTCATGAAAACTTAACCGTTTCTTCCCGAGTTTGTGACTTGTTTTAATTGAGTTTGAAAATCTGTATGTAATTTCTTAGGAGGGGTTCTCCTGTTTTTTCTTTTTTCTTTTTTGTAACTAACAGTTTCTGATTAATAAAATTTTCATTCACTTATCAAATAAAAAAAAAAGAACTTAACTTTTTCTTTTCATCCACAAGGTTCTCAATGCAAAACCAGAGAATGTTGAAAGGGAAGCAGAAATCATTGCACAAAGTGGTCGTCTAGGGGCAGTAACAATTGCTACAAATATGGCAGGTCGTGGAACAGATATAATCCTTGGAGGTAATGCAGAATTTATGGCCAAGTTAAAGCTACGGGAGATGCTTATGCCAAGGTATCATCTGTTTATTATTTTGTTTCTAGTGTGATCTTTCAGAAGAATGTGGATCAGATAAATTAAATTGTTAAAGAAAGCCTCTTTGTTTTGCCTTTTCACAGACTCAGTAAATCTGGTTTTTGTTTGTATTAGACTTGGTCTAATATAGATGGAATGTTAAGTCATAACGATCATCTGATCTGTGATTTTCTCTTTGTTTGAGTGCATTTTCTTTTTGAGTTGTGGGAATATCTCCCCATCCACCCCAACCAAAATAGAAAAAGAAAGCAAAAAGGAAAAAAAAAAAAGAAACAAAGTGAAAAACCAGTGCCACATGTAAGGTACAAGCAACGAGGAAATGAGGACGGCTTTCCATTCTTTTGTCATCCAGTGTTTTAAAAGGTGTGGGAGGCATACGCCTGAAGGTGTCCCTCCAGGCGAGGCACCCCCAAAACACCCTGAGGTGTATGCTAAAGGCATTGAAACCTCTTGTGCTTTTTTCATGAGGTGTGCTAGAGGCGTACACCTCATGTGCCTCATGCACATTTCATATAAAAAGAGAAAAAAAGAAGAAAGAAAGAAAAAGAAAAAAAGGAAAGGAAAGGAAAAGAAAAGAAAAGAAAGGGAAGGGAAAGAAAAAGAAAGAAAGAGAAGAAGAAAAAAAAGAGAAAAATAAAGAAAAGGAAAGGTAAGGGAAGGTTTTTATTAAAAATAAGGAAAAATGAGATCCTCCTTCCTCTTCTTCCTTCCCCCGCCCCTTTCCTCCTTTTCCCTTCTCACCCCCCTCCTCATAAGGAGGCTTACGCCTCCTTGTGTTTGGAAGGCTAACACCTCTTACGTTCTGAACTATGCCTCATGCCTCTAGCTAGTGGAACGCCTCGCATCACACCTCCACATTTTGAAACATTGTTATCATCATCATCCATGCCTTATCCCAACTTATGGGGTTGGCTACATGAATCCGGTTTCATCAATTTGTTCTACTTATATCCATATCCACAATTATTATTATCGCTTAAATCATTTCTTACTACTTATACCCCTGTCCTTTTTGGTCTACCCCTAGCTCATCTAGCCCCTTCCACTTGTAACAAATCACTTCTTCTAACTGGAGCTGTTGGTGGTCTTTTATGCACATGACCAAACCATCTTAGTCTACTCTCATTTTATCGCTTATTGGAGCTACTCCTAGGTTTCTATGGATGGATTTATTCCTGATCCTATTCTTTCTATTTCTTCCACTCATCCACTTAACATACGCATTTCTGCCATACTAATTTTCTGAACATGTTTCTTGACTGCTGAACAATCTGCTCCACACTCATTTTCATTTCTTCTATAAATGGTATCCAATATATATTACTGAAGGCTATAAAGAGGAGCCGTCCTAATGAACAAAAAGCTTTACATGGTTAATGAGAATTGAAAAAAAAAATATTAGTTGATTCTTTTCAAGTTTAAACTGCAAGAGACATCAACTAAAGCAAGTCCAAGTTTGTCTGACTGAATGCATCTTGAAGCATGCTGTTGTAGCATTTTTATGTTTCTGAGATGACATGAATTCTACAGAGTTGTTAAGCCAACAGAAGGAGTCTTTGTATCTGTGAAGAAACCACCTCCAAAAAAGAATTGGAAGGTTCGATTTGATTTTGGTCTTGAGCAAGAATGTTTTTCCAAATATTTGAACTGTTCTTTAACTACATATCATTGTTTTGTTCATGTAATTGCAGGTCAATGAAAGTTTATTTCCATGTCAACTGTCCAGGGAGAAGATTGCATTGGCTGAGGAAGCTGTAGATTTATCTGTCAAAACATGGGGCCAAAGATCACTGACCGAACTTGAAGCAGAAGAACGTCTCTCGTATTCATGTGAGAAGGTGGAAATCATCCTGTATATTTTTTCTTTCTGTCAGATTGAAGTTATTTGTGATAAAATAAATGTGGGTAAAAAGACAGGAAAGTTAGATATAGTTGGACATTTCTCTTGGAGATAGAAGGATGAAAATAAATGGGGAATTGCAATGGAATGTTTACAGTGTTCACTCAGGAGCAATCCCATTCATTTGGTTGGTTAATACTTCTGGTTCTAAAATTTACAGGGGCCAACTCGAGATGACGTCATAGCAAAATTGCGTAGTGCCTTTGTAGAAATTGTTGAAGAATATAAAATATATACTGAGGAGGAGAAAAAGAAGGTTCTCTCTGTCCCCGAGTAATATACTTTCTAATGTTTATGCTCTTTAGTGCACACTACAATTACTGCATCTTATTTGAAATCTTAAAGGTTATATTAGCGGGTGGACTTCATGTAGTGGGGACAGAACGCCATGAATCACGGCGAATTGACAATCAGGTCAAACTCAAAACTTGGTTAATGAAAACCACCCCTCCCAAAATAAAAGAGAGAAAATCTCTTCATTTTCCTTGTGAAATAAAACTTTATTAATAATTTGTACATATACAGCTGCGTGGTCGGAGTGGTAGGCAGGGGGATCCTGGAAGCTCTCGATTCTTCCTTAGTCTTGAAGATAATATATTTCGAGTATTTGGTGGAGACAGAATTCAGGTTTTTCTCGCTCTCTATGAGCCCCTTGTTTATGCTACTCATATGAATGCACTTGTCAAAGCTTAACCATGCTAGATATAGGGTTTGATGAGAGCCTTCAGAGTTGAAGATCTACCAATTGAATCTAAAATGCTGACAAAAGCACTAGATGAAGCTCAAAGGAAGGTGGAAAATTATTTCTTTGATATTAGGAAGCAGCTATTCGAGTATGATGAAGTCCTGAACAGCCAAAGGGATCGTGTGTATACAGAAAGAAGGCGGGCTCTTGAATCTGATGACCTACAGTCTCTTCTTATAGAGTATGCTGAACTGACAATGGATGACATTCTGGAGGTAGCATTATCACTGCATTTTTTGCCTATATTACTGGATTGGTATATTTTTTTATGCATGTTCTTAATATGTATTGTCCTTCCTCTGTTTCACATGGATAGGCAAATATTGGTCCTGATACTCCAAAGGAGAGCTGGGATCTTGAAAAGCTCATTGCAAAACTCCAACAGTAAGAGCCATCTTTCTGCATATGTAGCTTTGTTTAGTCTTCTTTTTGAGAAAAATTTGACTCAGAATTTCAGAGGCAATGTCTATTTGCATGATGGGAGGACAAGTAAACTTGTATTTACCTAGTTCATGGACTGGGTTCGTGACCTTCGTCTTGCAAGTTCTCTCACCATAATTTTTAAAGAAGAGAAATATGACCAGATGATTAAAAATCCATATAATATGTTTATAGATGGTTGCCATGTTTTTCTCCAACACCCATAAGATCATTGGAATGTTCAAAATAGTTATAAGATGTTCATAAATGCATTGGATGATGCCATTTATTGTGAGTGTTGCCACATTTTGGCTTGCAAGCATTATTGACAAACTTATACCCTGAACATCCCCTCTGAAGGAAAGGGGAAGAGAAAAAAAAAAAGAAAAAAAGGGAATAAAAATAATGGAAATGCAGACTTGTATATCAAGGCTTAATTAAAGATGGCTATTTGTCTCTTTTGAAGTTATACTGACATTACCCATGTTACCTGATCTGCAGGTACTGTTATCTGCTGGATGATTTGACACCAGATCTTCTTGGGAGCAAGTCTTCAAACTATGAAGACTTGCAGAATTACCTTCATTACCGTGGTCGTGAAGCATACTTGCAGAAAAGGGTTAGTATTTCTTTGTTTTCCTTGATAGGGATTTCCACTATTGGTTGAAAATGATACAGTATATAAATAATTTTCATCAAGGCAAATGATGGGATAATTAACCAAGGATTGAAATATTGATACGATACGCCTGATATGGGGCATATCATATCAATATTAGTGCATATGGATACAGGATATGCTATGAACAAGGGAGTGTCCCCTGAGTCGTGAACATCAAGCCATTGCGGGCCTGTATCAGTGCGCATCACATTGTATTGGGTTGATACACACCAATACTGACTGATACTCATCGAAATTATACTGCGTCTGGCTTCTCTATATTAACCAAGGATTGAAATATTGATAGCCTGATATGGGGCATATCATATCAATATCAGTGCATATGGATACAGGATATGCTATGAACAAGGGAGTATCCCTCGAGTCGTGAACATCAAGCCATTGCGGGCCTGTATCAGTGCGCATCACATTGTATTGGGTTGATACACACCAATACTGACTGATACTCATCGACATTATACTGCGTCTGGCTTCTCTATATTAAAAAAATGCTTCTAGGTGATTTGAACCCAAGTTAGGTCTACACCCAAATCTTAATGCAACCTCAAACCACTAAGCCACTTTGCTTCTTGTGGTAATAAATGAAACATAATAGCTTTTATTAACTTTTGTGTCTGCCTGCAATCGAAACAAATAACATATGTTTATGTTCAATGATTCCAACTAAAAATTAAAAAGAATAATATTCAAAATTGATATTTTATAAACAAATAGAATAAATAATCTATCAAATCCACATTTATATCAAATAATGATTTTTAATCTCAAGAAAGAAATTTATACAAAAAATATTAATAATAGAATAATTATTTTGATACTTAAAATTTATAAATTTGTACATGATAAGTATCTTAAATTTTTTATATATTTTTATAAATTATTAATTACTATTTTAATTTACATTAAATGACAACACATTTATTAATTACAAAAAATAAATTATTATTTACAAAATATTCAAGAATGCAATATTAAATAAAAAATATCTGGATATACAATGCAAAACCAAAAGTACGACTACACGAGCAGGGATCCAGCATCAACAAAAAAAAAAAAAAGAACTCGGATGGGCTCCCTTAAAAGGTTTTTGTATATTTATCCATGAACAGAATAGACCTTTTAAATTGTTTCTTATTACATCTATATCTGTTTGTTCCCAAAAATCCCCAGATTCCTTTCCCTCCATACTGTCCAAATAGTAGCAGCAGGAAAAACACTCCAATAAGAACTTCCCTTTCTGCTTAAATCCTGCAATCTCCATCCTTTAAGGACTCTGGAATACAGAATTACACCCCAAAACATTGTAGTGCTAGGTTCATGATATAGTGCTCCATGCTGAACCAACTATTAAATTTACATAAACACCTCTTCTTGCAAATGCTTTCAATTTCATACATACATTGGAATTTGTCTAGGACATTGTTGAAAAACAAGCACCAGGCTTGATGAAGGAAGCTGAGAGGTTCCTAATTCTGAGCAACATTGATCGGCTGTGGAAGGAACACCTGCAAGCGCTCAAATTTGTCCAGCAAGCTGTTGGCTTGCGGGGATATGCACAGCGGGATCCACTCATTGAATACAAGCTTGAAGGCTACAATCTCTTCTTGGAGATGATGGCACAGATTAGAAGAAATGTCATATATTCCATATACCAGGTTTGTCTCAACCAAGACAGAACACATGACATAGAAATGAATTCTCCATCTGTAAAAAATTAAGTGGAATTGTCTATTGCTTGGGGAGGTCATAGTTTTAGCTGTCTGACGTATACCATCATCTTTTGCAGTTCCAGCCAGTATTGGTAAAAGATCAAAAACAACAGAATGACAAATCAAGCAAACTCGTATCAAATGGAAGTAGCAATAACAACCCCAACCCGGTTGGTCTTGCAGAGGCATCTTCCTAGTCTTTGTGTTTTGAAGATACCTACATGGTCACATGGTCCTCTCATCAAAAAGATGATTTTATACGGATTGAAAGGCCAAAAGGGAAATATAATTGCTTCATCGAGATTTTGTAGAATTGGAGCTTGGATATATTTCATTGATGAATGTAGAAAAAAGGTGGCAATCCAAGCTTTTTAAGCTGAAGAGGTCAACCTGTTGTACCATAATGAAACATCATTCAAATCATACGAAACTAGATAAATTAGATGGGGTTCATGGCCTTCATGTATCTGTTATGTTTACTAATGCCATACCGCTTAAACGGATTGATCTGTTTACATTACAGAGATGTATGGGATGAAATAATCATCCTGGTTTTTATTGCTCTTGAGAATTCCGGGAAGTGATGGCAGTACTTTTTGACTGTATTGCAACTGCCCAGATTGGCCCAGATCGTTCATTCGTTAGCTCTTATTTTTTTGAGCAGGAAGAAAAGAAAATAGAATTAAATTAGCTATAGATGTTTTTTCTTCATTTATTATGTTTTTCGGCCCAGATTGGTTCCATGGATATCCATGACTAGGGTACCTTATATGAGAGTTCTTATTTCCTACACTTATTATTCTTGCACTTCCTACACTAACCAATCACTGTGCAATAGATATCCAGAACTTTGTAAAGTTCAAGTACTCTCACGTGCATGGATTTTTACACACGTATAATGAAACACCTGACATGTGGTGATTGGTTAAGTGTGGGGAACTCGTATGGTCCATTGACAAGGGAAAATTTCAGCTTAAACCCTTTTGCCATATGACCATGACAAGTCATTCTTTGGGGTACACTTAAAAATTTAAAAATCAGAATATTATATGGCTCATATCATCCAAAGTACTGCGTTTAGGGTTAATATGATAGAGAGAGAGAGAGAGAGAGAGAGAGTTAACATTTGATTTGGCCAATAAAAAATGGTCTCTCAATCAAAAAACAAAAAAAAAAAGAAGAAAAAAGCCTGTCATTGATGGACAGTTCCAATCTTTGAGCCAAGGGAAAGAACTATAGAGATTTGTCTCATATTTTGTTCCTTATAGGAGGCAAAAGGTAAAAAGAAAAAGTAGAAAAGAAAGACACAAAAATGGAAAAAAAGAGATATTCCATTTCTAACTTGATACAAACAAAATGATAAGTGTGTAAAAAGAGGACGAGACCCTTGTGTGAAATACATACAATCCAAATAGCTCTTGTTTTTGAAACATTCTATGAAGTCTACAAAAGGAGCAGCAAACTCCCCCACCCAATAATACATGAAACAAAGTTACATTACTCTCTCTTAATTTTCTGCTTAGCATTTAAATTTATGTTAAATTTTGATTGAGTGCTTGTAAGATTTTTTTTTTTTTAATCCCCAAGTTTACTCTATGTGGAAGGGCGACCACCTTAAAATTTTATTAATCAACCATTATCAAAAGGAGAAAGATTAATGCAGAGGAGAATGTACCCGTCTTTTCCGGTCTTGCCACATGTTTTGAATTCACTAATGACCTATTAACGATCTAAAGCCAAGAATATAATAGAAGAATGAACATACAAACTGATGAAATAGTTAGCTATTCTTTCAGGTGCCTAAGAATTTGCAGGGGGTTGTCAAACGAAGCTTATCTAGTTGAATTGTTTATAAAGACTGAATGATTCAAGGTTCAAAGTATAGATACAGGCCAATACGTCGGTAGGGTCAGTATTTTTTTTTAGGTTTTATTTATTTATTTTTTTGAAACCGGTTCAGAGGGATTGATTTAAGGCTCGATTATCCTCTGAACCAGTGTCTGACCCGATACAAAATCCTTGGAGGGGTATATCAGGAAGCCATCAACACGATACGTATCAACCAATATAAGTCAATGCATATTGATACTTTGAACCTTGTTGTTTTGTTCTTTTTGTTTCAATGGGGCTACAAAATGGAGGTAGCCCGTTCTAAGACCCCAACCCCCAACCCTAGTGAAGGATTGAGACAGTTGGGGGTGCATGGCTGACGTGGGCTGTAGGATTAAAACAGTGGCCATCTGGAGGGTCCCCTACTTAATGGACATCGGATATCTCAGGTTGGCTACGTTATCCTTCCAAGTGATGACAAAAATGGGATATATATTTGACAGGCTCTAGTCAGGTTAAGTAGGAAACTTCCCTACACTACCCCACCTATTAATGCCACATGGACTTCTTGCGGCCAATCCAAACTTCAACAGTGTGGAGGATCATCTCAATCGAGCATTGTTTTCATTCCTCAGCCCCAAAAATCTGCATCTTGTAAAGGAGTTTCAAGGGTAAATTACACAGGTACTTTCTACTTTGGGGTAGTAACAGATAGGTACCCTGAACTTTCAATTGCAACATTTAAGTATCCTAAATTCTCAAAAATAAACATTTGGGTCCATCCGTTAGTTAAATATTATATAATGTCAAAAATACCCTTCTCGTGTATTTTTGATATCATTCTCAGGTAACGAAATGTCCCCCCACAATGACATTTTCACATGGACAGCAAATAAAAGATTCAAATTTTCTGACAACGGCATTCTCTAGTGATGATTTTACTCATTCATACACGAGAAAGGTATTTTTGACGGTATGTAATATTTAACTGACAGAATACTAACAAATGGACCCAAGTGTCTAATTTTGAGGTTCAAGGTATTCAAATGTTGCAATTAAAAGTTCAAGATATCTATTTATTATTAACCCAAAGTACAGAATACCTATATGTAATTTACCCGAGTTTCAACCACTTAATGTTAACCCATTAAAATTAATTTCCATTTTGAAGTAAACCTACAAAAGAAGGATTGCATTGAACACAAAGACAAACTTTTCTTAGCCCAAGATTTTCCTTAATTGAATTGTTTGAGGAAGCACTCTAAGTGACCCATCCAACTAAGGAACTTCCCTATATGACCTGTCATATTTCTTTCATGCCAAGGAATATGTGATGGTCAATCTAAGTTATCCAAGTAGAGTGCTTCTTTTAGATTAGCCACGTGCTCGTGCAACATCCACGTCACATTGGCCTGTAATCCACCTTTTCTTAGCTACCAAGTAATATTGATTATGGATATTTTTCTTGTTTTAATAATAAGTTTGTTTAATTAGAAAGAGGGGTTTGGGCTCAACTCAAGTTTGGCCTATTAGCCATGGTTTTAAGAACTGGTTCAGAAACGGAACTGCTTTGATCACCAGTTTTTTGGTCAAATGGTTTGATCGTTTAATTTAAATCTCCATTAAACGATTTTTGAATCCAAAACCATGACCAGTTTTCAGGTCAAATGGTCCGACCATTCAATCTAATTCGATTCTCAAAACCACACTACTAGTTACTATATAGGAGGGAATAGCATCAAGAATCTTGGAAACCATTTTGATTCCTTTCCTTTTAAATGTTTCAACTTTTTCTAAATGATAATATGCCAACTGAGTGGTGCCTCGATTGGTACAAGGTTCCAACCCTCTACTAATATCATCTCACACCGCATATCTTAATTTGAGACTGGGACCCACCATAAAAGTAGGACCCTCCAATAAAATGTGCGGTGTGAGATGATGTCGAAAAACGATTGGAACGTTTGTTGTAGGTGATCCGGTCTCCACCGTCGGTGCCAGTCCGGGGCATGCATGCAGACCTTATTTTGGTTATTATTATTCGAATCAGACTCCGTGCTCACGTTCAGGCGTTTCGGAAAATCCAAGTAATGGTAAAGGGAAACCAGTCCTCCAAAATGAAACCATTTGTCCATCTGTAATCAAATGACTGCTGTTAGCTAATATTATAATCCGGTTCTATTTCACCCATAAGGCCATAACCCATTTCTTGGCCAAAAAGTAGGGCTGTTCATAAGAAGGCCCAATCCGATCAAATTGACCAATCCGAACCGATTCAGTCTGAGTCGGCCGGGTTATTTTCAGCACCGGTCGGTTTTAGGTTGTAAAACATCATAAACTGATGGTTTGGGTCGGTTTCGGTTTTCTTGTGTGAAAATCAATCCGAACCGAACCGATTAATTGTTCCTTAATGAAATTTAAATTAATTAAGCCCCCATAATTAATTGTCCCTCTTCAGATCTATTACATTGGCTAGATTAATGATTGTAATTAACTGTCCTRAAGTCTYCCTACAGAATTCACCCAAATCCCAATTAAGACAATTAAACTTCAAAATGAATATATAATCAAAGGGATAGGTTGGTGGTTTTGGAGATAAAACTTAATTACTCAAAAGATATATAACATATATACCTCTATAATAGGCATTATTATTATATATGGGTTTTGCTCTTCTTCTCCTCTCCAAAGTCCAAACCGTTGACTAGAGGTATATCCTGTTTATCAAAAACAAGGCTTTTCTCGCGTTCACTACCTCACATACTATGGTGCCACAGTCCCCACATATATATTGCAGTTGAGTTTCTGTCAAGCATGGTTGAACTTAGAGTCGAAACTGACCCAAACCGATCCAACCTGACTCAAACCGACTAGGTCGGTTTTACTTAACATTGGGTCAGTTTCGGTTTCAAGTTCAAGTAACCCGACCAGATCGGATCAGTTGGAAAAACCTCAGTAAACTGACCCAACCCGACCCGTGAACAGCCCTACCAAAAACCTTTCACTTGATTAATGATCGGTCGGTCGATCTAGGTAATCGAACTATCAACCCATTTGACCTGGATAATGATTTTTGGTTATTTTCTAAGTTAAAATGGGCCATTCATTTGAACTAGATAATTAAATCATTGACCCAAAAATCGGTGGCCAATACGGTTCAGGTTTTAAGTCGATTTTTAAAACTTGCTAAAAACTCAGAAAAATGGGTTGTTTGTCTGTTCAAACTTCAAAGTTCAAACCACACAGATGGTGAAAATTGAATTTGTGTTTGAATCTTTGAATTGAATCCAATCCCTTTGCCAGCAAGCATGGGTTAATTCCCAGGTGGGTTCTGAGTAGTCTGTGCCAATCTGATCAGTACAGCAATAAGCATTGGAGGAAGAAAAAAAGAAAAACCTCTAATGAGCTGTGGAAAGTTGAATTAAAATAGGTAGGTTAAACTTAAAGGATCAAGTATGGGGTCCAACAAATCCAAACGAGGTTTCAAATAAACAATTTCTTTGTAAGCAATGATTGCACTTGGTAATACCTCCCTCCTAAGTCCTAATATACATTAGTGTGAGTAGTAAGTAGTGTGGGATTGACGCGTGGGGTTAGTCCTGAAAATATGGTGGGGATTGCATTTAACTTTTGGAGGAAGCTGGTACCAAAGTGTGAGGCAAATGCAATGATATGATCAAACCAAGAATAAACTTTACCGGGACCCACCATTATCTGTTCCTGTTCCTGCACACCACTTTTGGTTTTTGTGGTGGATGCATGGTTCATGGATGGATGCTCAGAGCTATGTGATCCGGTTTTACTAATCCGGAATTTTATGGGTTTTGAGCCAGGTTTTTAAAACCGGATTGGAAATGGAACCCTTTTTTTTTAAAACCGGATCGGAAAGGAACTGTTTTGGGACTGGTTTTTGGGTTGGAATAGTCCAATTGTCTGGTTCGAATGGATGGTCCACTTTTATATAAAAAATAAAAATAAAAATGGCTAAAAATTGTTGTCCAGGTTGATGGATCGACTGCTTGAGTTACCAGGTCACTGACCAGATCAATGATTTTTGGCAGAAAAGTGGTTTAGGGTGAAACGGAACTGGTTATCTGATTGATACATGATTTTTCCAGTTCAACTATATGGTCTACTCCGGTTTTGAGAACCATGGTTTTGGATTGTTTTGTCTCATCAAATCCCATTATCCCATGTTTGTCTCATAATAATAATAATCATGATTTTTGAACCACTGTTGACTTGGACGGTCAAACCGTTCGGCCTGGGAACCGTCCAAGCAATCAGTTCCGTTTTACTCCAAACCTGGTCTTTGACCAAAAACCGTTGAAAAAGTCAACAACCCGTTGACCTGGGTGGTCGAATTGTTGACCTGTTCAATGGTTTTGGTAGTCTTTTTTATTTTTAATGTTTATTTTTTTGTCAGAATGGACAATCCATTCGAATTGGATGATCGGACCGTCGACCTAGAAACCAGTGGCCAGAATGATTCCGTTTCTAGGTCATTTTTTAAAACGTTGATAATAATAATAATAATAATAATATATTATTATTATTATTTATTTAAACTTATCATATAGTTTTTGTTTTTTGTAACCTATTTAATTGACCTTTTATTAAGAAGTGATTTTTTGGCCATTTGAAAATAATAACATGATCATCTAAAATTAGTGGAAAATGTTGAAGGATATGAGTTTATGATTATTTATTCCAAAAATACCTGACATTTCTTCATAAAAAAATCAAAATTGATCAAATAAAACCAATAGAGTTGTTGCTCATCTCTTTTTCTTTGGGTAACTATTGCTCATGCTTTATTAGGGGGCAAAAATGATATTTTCATTTTCTTTTGATTAAATTTATTTAAATGGAAGTTAGGGTGAAAACTATACGTTCCACTGTCATCTAATGAAAGGTCCATTAAGTAAATCAATGCAAACTATAGAAGGAAGGTGTTTTAGTAAACTACAAACAAGGTATATTTTAGTAAAATCATAAGGGGTGTTTTAGTAAAGGGAATTCCGGATCGGTACTCTAGATTTTGGCTCGAGTGACAATTTTGTCCTCAAACTTTAAAATGTGATAATAAAGTACCCGAACTTTCAAAATATGACAATCCAGTACCTGAACTTTCAGAATATAACAATCCAATACTTGCCGTTAACTAGTCCTTTAATCAGCCGTTAAGTGACATTTGAAAGGTAAAAAATGCCCTAAAATGCCATCTAATTCTCTTTATCAATCATCCAAACATTGACAATAAAATGAACAGTCCCAAATTCTAGATTCTTCTAAACAATCATCAACTTTTTTGAATAGAAGAGGCTAGGATTTAGGACTGTTCAGTTTTCTGTTAAATGGTATTCGAAGGACATTTTTAACTTTTAAAACGTTACTTAATGGCTGATTAACGGATTGGTTAATGACAAGTACTGGATTGTCATATTTTAAAAATTTAGATACTGAATTATCGCATTTTAAAGTTAGGACAAAATTGTTACTTGAACCAAAGTAAATAGTACTGCTCGGAAATTTTGAATTTAGTAAATGACCCAATGAAAAAAGCCCAACTCTTGATCAAATTTAACCGTTGCCCAAGTGGAGGTAAGTACCATTTCACCAAAATAACTGTAGTGAAATCCACTAATCCAGGGTGTAGCTGTCCTGTAGAAGGGAATACCGGTCAATAGAGCACAAACAGGACATGTGGCATGCGTACGTCAGATCAGGGCCCATTGAAGAGACTCATCATCAAATGGGCCCCATCAAATGGAACATTTTTGGCTGATCTCAGAGCCATCCCATATTCTCATTCAGTCTTCTGTCTCCACCAGCTGACGAGAAAACCGCAGAAATGGGGATGGCAGATTGGGGGATTGGTTGGGGCCAATCAACAATCAGAGTCAGGAATCCAGAAGGGTTGCCACCTGTCATAATCACACGCTTCTAGATTTACGACTCACGTCAGACCAATCACCATCACTAATTTGTTTGACACGCATCGGATCCCTAACTGGAAAACCTATTTTTTTCTCTCACGCCACGACAAACACCCTACTTTCACGTTGTTTGTATATCCCATTCTCAGTCCTTTGTCCTCGTCGCCCCTCCCTACTCTTTTCCTCTCCATTCATAATCGCCTTCCTTTCAAAAGTACCAAACTAACCTTATTGATCAAAACCCTAATGGAATTTCAGATGGTGGGGGGGTGTAGATATATATCACAGAGGGTGTTCTTCAATGTGAATTATTTGTAAATTCTAAAAATAAATCCAAAGCATCTTGTTTGATGATAATTTGGTTCTTAGAATGAAAAAGTATATATAGAGAAATACACATGCTTTTTAAGCTTATTGTTTACAAATTTCTGGTTTGAAAAACATGTTTTTGTCCAATAATTTTTCATCATCTTCTATAAATTATAAATTTGTTTTCATTTTAAACTATCATTTTGATGGTTTCAAAAACATGAATTGTTTTTTAAAACAAAACCCATTTGTTTTTGTTTGATCAAAACAAAACATGTACGTTTGACGTTTGATGGATGTGGCAATTTAAAAAACAAATGAAAACAAAAACATTTGCATTATAGAACACTCCTATAGTGCTATGTTTCCCATTTCCCATATTTATATTTAGAGCATGGGGACCACCTAACACCTCCTCTCCAATGAGATGGTTAATCAATCAACATACACCTCTGGTTTGTTAGGTTTGTTATTGAATGAAGGAAAAAAAAAAAAAAAGAGAAGGTAGTAATTAAGTAAATAATGCACAAATGAGATGGTTAAAATGATCTTCTCATGCTACATTTTTGCACATACCCAGAGCTTTGGTTTTTGTGATCATTGATAATGTCCTGGTTCTTGAACTTTGGCATATCTTGGCTTCGCTCAGCTAAAATATTAATATGTTCGAATTCAAATAACCAATCGAATTTACCCTAAGATTTGATCTTGTTTGAGTTTGAATCTGAAGCTCAATTTGATTGCACCCCTCCTTACTTTATATAGGGGTATAAGAGACCATGATAAATGAAGGGTTAATTAAGGAAGCTTACGAATTAAATAAATCTGAATGCTTGTGGCTGTAATATTTTATAGTATCTATTCTGATAATCACTACTGATGACAAAATAACAATACCATGATGGTCTTTGGCAACAGGTTGTTTATCAATGATGGTGTTTGGTAACAGGTTGTTTATCTATCATGGTGTTTGAGCAGAATCAGCAACATTACATCCTCCCCATTATGCAACATTTTTCCCATTAACGTGTTTGGTTGAGACATGTATTGATTTTTTAATTGAAAAGAATTTGTTATAATAACTCAAAAAAGTGATTTTCTTTTTCATTTTCCAATATGATGACATAACAGTTTGTTGTTTTTTACATAAATGTGCATAAATAAGCACCTATGTTTTTTGCCCATTCATGTTAAGATGCTGATGTGGCTAATTATTTGTATGCAAGGGCAAATAAATACCATCACCCCAAACACCCTCTAATTGCTTCTGTTTCAGAGGTATGGAGATTGGGCATTAATAGCCCAAAGCAAAGGCCAATTATTGGTCTAGGCCTTCTATAAATTTTGCATCAGTCGTTTTTACTTGAAACCATGTCAAATTGGGAAATTGTAGCATTACATAATAAAGACTGATTTTTTTTTCATAAAGATGCAGAGGGGATAGATGTAATGTACTACCTCATAATAGTTATGAGGGCATACAAAAATGTAAGCTGCTGATTTGTTTAGATCTCATTTTGTTTTCATAAATCGACCCCTTCAATGGCAATAAATAAATAAATAAAAATAAAAATAAAAACCTCTTTTTATAAATTGGAAATTTATATTTTTACAAAACTTATTTTTGTCTTTTAAAATAGGAATTATTGACTAAATAATTATGGACATGTCCCAATTATCAAAAATGTCATTTTGGTAAATAGTAGGGATGTTTTTTGTCATTTTCAGAATTTTAATATGGGGTCAGAAGACTCAGAACTCCAAATCTTGTTGGCATTCTTATCCTGCCCATTACAAATAATCTGGAGTTTGGAGAGATCTTGTGGAAGTATTTGCTGAAATGATTCAGGGTAAATTGGTCAGTTTAGGAAATCAAGAAATTACTTAAAAAAGAATTTGACCGCTTTCAAAATTCAAAGGAAGTAAACTAGTCGTATATAAATTCTACGTCTAATAACGATCTTGCCAGCTTTATTTTATTCATTTTTCCGGCTCCGATCTGTGATTTGAACAAGTCTGGAGAGAGAGAGAGAGAGAGAAACTGTGGTCTGTGAAGTTAGAAATTATAGGTGAGTTGTTAAATGAGATACCATGCAACTTAATCTCTGTTTACCAAGAAGAAGACTGTACCATCTGAAATTCTTTAAGTACTATCCATCAAAACTCCATAAAAAGAATCCAATACTCCACTTCTCTGTAAACCAGTTCATGTTTACTTAAATTTCATCGAGCTTTTCTGCTCCTGGCACATAAGCTTTATCTGGGTATCCTTCAATTTGCTCGTAGACATACACCGAAACAGGGAAAGAGATATCGAGAGGTCCCAAAGGAGGTGGACACAAGGGTCCTGGTTGGGGCCACGATTGTTTGTTTTTTGGCGGGCAGCAACCGCCACTTTCAATGATTTTATTTGGGTGGTGGTTCTCAAAGTCCCATCCTATCAAGCTTGTATATTGCTTGTGATCTCAATCGAAACGACCCAAAAGCTTCTTGCCTCAAGGGTTTATGTCTTTCAGCCTCTATTATTTGATCAGAGAAGAGTTGTGAGGTGGCAGCTGCAAGAAAGCTTCAGGTCTTGAGCTGAAGGGGAAGAACAAATTTCAGTCATGAGAAGATCTATATCTGTAAGTAATCTGATTCATTTCCCCTTTTTCCTGTTCCTCTTCTTTCCTTCTTTATTTATTCTCTGTGATCTGATGAAAGGATCTGAATTCTTGTTCTATCTGTAAAAAATCTGAGTTTAGAGAGCCGAATGAGATCTGAGGGGAAATTGTTTTTTCCCTCCCATTTTATTAGTGAATTTTCCTTGTATTTGGAGTCCCTGCTTTTATAATTTATAAAGGTTTTCCCTAAACCATCAACAAGGAAAAAAAATTGTAAGATCCGATGAAGGGCGAAAAAGATCATTTAAAATTTTCTTCATAGGTGTAATGGCTGTTACTTGTTATTTCTTAACTTGTTCTTCTTTTGACTAAACGTAGTTCATCTAACCAGTGTTTCCCTTAATGAACTTGAACTTTCCATTAGAAATGCCGAGCACCATTTGTTTTTTTTTTTTTTTGATAGATAATGTCCCATTTGCGTTACTCTATTTAGATTCGATCCAAATTCTAGTTATTTGTATTATTCCATTTCTATTTCAAAATGTAGTTCTTTTAGCTAACTTTCTTTTCTCTCTCTTCTTAATTTATTAAATAGCTTGAATTTCTCAATCCACTTATTCCTAATACTTAATGTTGAGACTGAACCTGTTTAAAAGAAAATTTTGTAAAGAAAATCATTAAACTTGGATATCATATGTAAAATTTCTAATTGAGTTGAGTTTGAATTCACTTTCAGCTGGTAGAAGTGCTCTTGGTACTTGCATCAATTTGTGAATCTCCATGGGCTGTCTGGAGCAGCTCTCAATGCACACAAACAAGCTCAAGGGAAGTTCGACCACACAGTGTCACGATAACTGAATTTGGTGCTGTTGGGGATGGCATCATTCTCAACACCAAAGCATTTCAGAATGCCATATTCTACCTCAAGTCATTCACTGACAAGGGTGGGGCACAGCTTTTTGTTCCAGCTGGGCGATGGTTGACGGGAAGTTTTGAACTCATTAGTCATCTAACTTTGTTGTTAGATAAGGAGGCAATAATTCTCGGATCAACAGTAAGCCTATAACTCTTTGTTTTAAGATGTTTAGCTATCAGAGTTACATAGATGGGACATCAAATTTTCTTTGTTTCCCTCTTTTGACTTGCATGTTCATTGTTTGGCACATAGAGTTGAAGTTTTCATAGATTAATAATCTAAATTAACTGCCTAGGTTTGGAGGAGTTGAGGTTTGACTGATCTTGGTAAGGGATCATCTCAAGGAACTTGGGGTTTGGTTCACTCCAAGCAGTTTCATGATTCCTGTAATAAATATGCTACTCCAAAATTCAAAGAGCACCTATACCCTCTGTCGCATTGATTTATGATGAATAAGGATAAGAATAAAGAAGAAAGAGCACCTAGCTTTTGGCATGAATTCTAATGCATGTGAGTGAAATACCTGTCTTTAAGTGGTTGTGCCCAAATCTCCATTGGACAGTGAACTCTGTTGCAATCTTGAAGCCAGAGGTTCTATCTCTAACTCAAGACTAGGGCTAGCTAATCTGTGGTTTGTTTTAGCACTCTGCTGGTGCTCAAGACAAAATTTATCTAATATGTGGTCTGTTTCAGCACCCTGATGATTGGCCGGTTGTTGATCCTCTGCCATCATATGGCCGAGGTAGGGAGTTGCCTGGTGCACGTCATCGAAGCCTAATTTATGGATCCAACCTAATAGATGTCATTATAACGGGTTAGTAATAAAGATGCAGAAAGGAATTACTACATTTTCAATATTGCTGTTCTTGAAGTTGAATATTTCATGGTGCAGGAGATAATGGAACTATTGATGGTCAAGGTCATGTCTGGTGGAATTGGTTCAGAAATGGAAATCTGAACTACACACGGCCTCATTTGGTTGAGTTCATAAATTCAACTGGTGTGGTCATCTCAAACTTGACCTTCTTGAACTCACCATTCTGGACCATCCACCCTGTGTATTGCAGGTTTGTCCCCTTCAAACGGAATTAACTTGTGTTTCTAATCTCCTTTGCCTTTGGATTTTCTTATTACGTCTATCATGTCTAAAAACAATGCACAAGTGAAGATTTTATGAATTAGGGGGAGAGTTGAGACTGTTTTTGCTGGATGAACAGCCAAGTTCTTGTCCAGAAAGCCACTATCCTTGCTCCTCTTCATTCACCAAACACGGATGGGATTGACCCAGGTGATTATTCAGTAGTTGCAGAAAATTTTCCTTTACCATTATTGATGCATACACAGTTGTATGAATTTCTGTTGTAGCCGCTGAGTATTTGGAAGTAGTCCTTTTATTGCATATATTGATCTGAAAACTTTCAAGTGCATTGGTTTCAATCTCATATTGAAGTGATCATAAACCTAAAGAGTATTGGGTAGTAAGGATTCCAAGCCCTGAAGAATGCTAAAAGAAGCCCAAGAAGGTTTAGGATTCTTTCTCAACGTGCAGGATATATTTAAACGGATGCTGGAAGTAGAACAACATTTTCCTTTAATAACCAGTTATTCAATTACATTGAAAGCCAATAATGGGATGTTTTTCAGTTCATCAACTTATCTAAATCACCAGGAATTTCCTGGTTTAATTTGAAAAGTGGGAAATGATAATAGTTACAGGGATGGAGTGCATTGATCCCCTCCAGTCTTAATGGTTGGGCTAGATGAAGGTGATTCCCACTTTTGGTCGAGGTCCATTACCACCTGGCAGCAACTTAGGCTATGTTTGGTTCACTTCTCTGGGCCTCATTCTTTTAATTCTTGTTCATTCTGGGCAAGAATGGGCAAGAGTGAATAGCATTAGAGTGTTTGGTTACAAACTTCTTGCCATGGGCCACATTCTTTTTAGAATGAAAAATCAGTCCATAGCACAAAAATTGGGGTAGCCTGCAGCATGAAAAATAATCATGCACCATCTTGCTCATTTTCATTCTTTGAGGAAACTCTGCCTACAAAACTGTTGCCATAGATGTTTACTAGTGGGCTACTGTGGAAATTCACCTCAACAGACATTGACTTCCAGCCATCCACCGATAAACATCTATGCCAACAGTTTTGGAGACCTAGGTTGGCGGTTTATGAGCAACATAGGTCACTTGTCAGTCTGAAAAGAATTCATTTTTAGGAAAAAAAGTGTTTGTTTCATAGAAATGTTTTCTCATCCTGCCTATTTTTACCCATTCTTGTCCATTTTAGAACTTCATCTTGGGTAAGAATGAGAATTGATCTCGCTGCTCTGCATTATTGCATTTGAATGGCTGTGGAATGTTTTCAATCGGCACAAGTAATTTAAAGAAAGAAAAAGCTCGATAATGATAGTGAAGAATATTATAGTCAATTTTGTTCATCTGTGTTATAAGTGTTTGTACATGAGTTGGGATCTCCTGCACTCCTTTGCACCGCACTTGTGCTTCAGTCTGTGACAGGTGTCCAATTAAATGTGCATAAATACCCATGCATATGAGACCACACATGTAACAGAACACCTGTCACAGACTGAATGGAAGTGCACTAGTGGAGTAGATCCAGTAGTTTTCAGAAGCTTAAATTTCCACTCTGTTAAAAAAGAAAAAGTTCATATCCATATTCTGTTTGTTTAAATTTAAATTTTCTGACTTCTCTTGTTTAAATATTTCCAGATTCCTCTAGTGATGTGTGCATTGAAGACTGTTATATTAGCACCGGCGATGATCTGATTTCCATAAAAAGTGGGTGGGATGAATATGGTATTTCATATGCTCGGCCCAGTACCAATATTATTATCCGCAGGATTGTTGGACAAACTTTATCGAGCTCTGGAATAGCAATTGGGAGTGAAATGTCTGGTGGCGTATCAGAAGTTCATGCAGAAGGCCTCCAATTCTTCAATTCAAAAACTGGCATCAGAATAAAGACAGCTCCAGGACGGGGTGGTTATGTAAGAAATATCTATGTGTCGGACGTAAAATTGACTGACGTAAAAATGGCAATTCGGTTCACTGGTCAGTATGGTGAGCACCCAGATGAGTTTTATGACCCAAATGCTCTCCCCATCATAAACAACGTTACATTTAAAGATATCAGAGGAGATAACATCAGCATTGCAGGCCTACTTGAGGGTGTCGAAGGAGAGAGTTTCCAAAACATTTGCCTATCCAACATTACCCTCAATGTAACCTCAACTTCCCCATGGAAGTGTTCATTCATTAAAGGCTATTCTGACTTGGTTTATCCAGAAACTTGTGAACCTCTCAGAGAAAGAATCTTCCCTGAGCATTCATCAGCTTGCTACCACCTATCGAATCACTTGCAGAGCCTGAGTGGCAGAAAAAGACCTACATGGTTGCTACCAAGATTGAGTTTAAGTTTTACAGTATTATAGCCTTTGGTTCAGTGGTGAAAATATTGATGTGTGAATGCCCCCACCCCATCCAAGACCAGGCCAACCAAAGAAAGCCCAAGAAAGAAAAGAAGATCAGCAAACATGATTCTTGCCATTTTTTCAACATAACAACCTGTTATTTCATGGGAGTTGAAATTTGGATGTACTTTCTGGTCTGAGCTGTTGATTTATGGCATGGTCTTGATTCTTGAGGTATGATTTGTTTATTGTAACTTCTTATGTAGTGAAAAATAATGAATGATTGCTTAGCTAAAAAGATGAGTGATTTATTAGAGATCGAAAATACAATGATCATATGTTGTTATAAATTTCATATTATTGCAATAAGATTATGGAATCCCTTGGACTTTACTCCATGCCTCCATTTGTGAAGGGAACATATTAAGAAATAGTGCTAAAATCATGGCTCTCATGGTTGCTGCCTCGACAGCAATATACTTTCTAACCACTCCCCTGAAACGGTTAAAACTAAATTTGACTCAAAATCTGGTCAGGTCTTTCAGCCTGACTAAACTCAGTAAAACATTAGAAAATAGAAATACAAAATAACGCGAGGAAAGAGAAATCGGAAAATAAAAAGGAGAAATATTTCCCTTCTCCCTTTATTGGCGAAGGAAAAGCTCGTACCAGGTTCATATGTAACGGAATGGTCATGAGGTTGTTCCTCACCCCTCATTTTCCTCCGATGCTTAGCCATTTCCTACGAAGTGACAGAGCAAATTATATTTCTCAGATGATAAAGCTTTTCTATTTAACAAGGGGCTGTTTGGCAAATCTTTCTAGGTAAATCTTTCAACAGCCCAGTAGACAAGAAGACGCATTGAAATTTTGGGGTCTTGTCTTTAAAGACTAAAGACTCTTTGGTTTGCGTTGTGGTCTACCAGGATGTCAAAAACAGCAGAAAAAGCTATTTTCAGAGCAGAAAGATCAAAAACTTCATTTGAAACTTCCCTATTTTTGCCTTCTCGGTCTTTTAATGTGATTGTCTTCGGGTCTTTCGATCTATGTGATTCCAAACAGGAAAAGACGATTTTTTGATCTTAAACTTCCACAGACTGAAAGACATGCCAAACACCACCTAAATTTTTTAGTTCGCTACAATGTTAATTCATCTTGAATGCAAAGATATGAACAGAGAAGATTATGATCAAATTTATGGTTGTCTTGGGGATTGGATTCTGGGGGTTCTTGAGTTATCACCAACTGCTTGGAACCTTTTTTAATTAATTTTAACGAATATATGCTTGCTATAAACTCTTAACCCATAAGCGGTCAAAATGATTAATGCACATAGATAAACAGTAGAAAGACATTAGAAGCACTACTCCGGAGACTTTCATTATCGCAACCAAACACTATGTAACCAGCTTCAACTTGAGAAAGACCTTAACAGCTTATACCAGAGAAACAACATGGATGAAGCTTAACACAAATAGGGATGTAAATCGACTACGAACGTCTAATACCCGATACAAGATCCGATCTAATTAAGAACTATATGATATGTATATGCGTGTGTATTTAGTGTATAATTAATAAATTCAATATTTCATCTTCATGTAAATTCATTCTATAAGTCAGAGAATTATATTTTATAGCTTTAAGTCTTAAATGGTAGAGAAAGCTGATCCAAATATCCTATATTTTAACTTTTTTATACAATTTTTGGATCATATTTGATCGAACTCACCAGGAGTTGGGGGAGGGNGGGGGGTTAAATGGCAATTCAGATCTCCTAGCACATGATATTATGACATTACAGCTGTACATTGAGAACATCTCCCATGAATGATAATATGCAAATACAAAGGGAGGGAGATGGGCTACCTCTGCTGGGTAGCCCCATGAAACCTAAAAAACAGTGAGGAAAGTGAATGCAAAATGTATAAAAAAAGAAAGGAAAGAAGGAAAAGGATAGTCGTGAAATGGATTCCAAATAGTTTGCGATAATGGCTAAGTTGAGTTGAGTTGTGTTAAGACTTAAGAAAGAAAAGAATACAATCAAAGTTCAAAGTATCAATACTGGCTGGGCGTATCAGCCAATATCAGTCCTTTGTTTTTTCACTTTTACTCAAGGGTCCGATACGATACGGGCCGATACATAACCATTTTTTGAACCTTGGAGACAATTGGCTATGAAGCACAAGTAGGTAGATAAAAACATTACAGAATATACAAGAAAATAGCAACGGAAAGAGGATTGGAACAACGTCATTCCATAACATGAAAAATCAAAACTCAAATGAAAAAGGTGGGGATCATACTCTTTCAAAAGCGTATCTGAGATTGTTATAGAATGTACGCTTTTGAAAGATATGAATATAATAGAAAAATTTAAGATATACAAGGTTAAGTTATAAAAATTTAAATAAATCCTTAAAAAATACATCAATAACACAAAATTTAAGGCTCAAATGACTAGAAAGGTATCCTTACATAACCATATTTTAACAATTTAACACTTGGGAAATGTTGAAATATTGGTTCTTAAAAATCAATATCATTTTTTAATATTTATGAATATAAGACATTTAAATATCATTTTCAATTTTTTTTATTGAAATACACCAAGAGTAAATGTCTAAAATTAAAAAAATTGAATCCATATAATTATAACAAGTTAAGCATAGTTGTAAAAGTGCTGCCATTCGTCACAAAACCCCAAGTTTGAATCTTCCTACTTTTAGTTTTTATAACATAAATAATAGTGAAATATAAAATAAATTAAGGACCTCTTGATTAAAGCAATTTAATGGGTTCAGAAACAAAATGCGTTAAATATAGGAGTTAATGAGAGAAAAGATGAGTTAATTAACGACACAATATGTGAAATGGGTGGAAAGAAAGATGCTCAAATATATTATGTTTCTAGCAATTGATAGGTGGCTCAGTTGGTATGTTTGCCAGGTTGGTCCAGAAGAGACTTGGGATTGATTCCCATCCCATGGCAAGAAGCTTCAAGAAAATAAATCCACCACTAGACCATCCTTTTTTGTTGTAGGCTTGTAGCTACAGGTGGAATGAACTAGGCTTTTCATGAATTATTCGAGTTTGGCATGTGAAAAGCTCAATTCAACTAGGTCTAAACTTTAAACCAAGCTTCGAACTGAATTCAAGCCTAATGAAGCTTTGTTAACTATTGAACTTATATTATATATTATTTTTTATATTTTATATGAAGCTTGGTTCACAATTGAGCTCTAGCCAAGTAAAGCTTGAACTTACAAGCATTTGAGTTGAGCAAATTTCAAGCTCATATCTCTAGCTTGGATCGAGTGAAATCAAAAGGAAACATCGCCATCAATTGATCCACTTGCACCTTCAGTATGACAAATATTTTGCTATACTAGTGCAGACAACCCCTACACAGTGGAGGAAAGGAGGATAGGGTAGAAAAGAAACACCAATGTTTTAAAACCTGACCCAAAACTGGAACTTCTTTATCCGCCGGTTTCTAGGTCAAGTGGTTCAACCATTCCGTCTGAACAAGATCAGCCAGGTCAAATGGGCCAAAAACATTGTCTGGATTGTGCAATTTAAAAAGTAAAAAAAAAAAAAAAGAAATAACACCAAAAAACCAACGTCTGGGTCAAATGGATGGACGGTTTGATGCCAGGTCTGCAGTTCACTGACCAAGTCAACAGTTTTTTTGGCAAAAAGCAGTTGACGTAAAAACAAAACCAGTCTCCTGATGATTTTCCGGGCTAAACAGTCCAACCATCCAAGTTGACGATGGTTTGAAAACCATGAGAAACACCACCGCCCTTGCCACTTCCCACAACTATGCAGTTCAGTGATTGTAGAAACTAGTTGCCTTCCAGATATACTATCAGGTGGCAATGCAAGTATTCGACTGAAGCTGAAGGTCGTGAAAATGACAAAGTTTACACAATGTAGAATATGAAATACATTAGCACATACAGGTTACCAGAATGTAACATTACCTCACCTTTTAATATGGAAAAAAAAAAGAAAAAGGATGAGAAAAACACCAGATTATTTCCATGTACAAACTAGGGGTGGGGTTTTGTACGCAAATACCATACATAATACATAACACTCTCCCCCCCCGAAAAAAAAAAAAAAAAAAAAACAGAAAAAGAAAATAAAATATTAAAGCATTAGGCATCCTAATGTCTGGCATATTTTTGACGAGGCCCCGATTCATCCTTGTTGCAGCGCTTCACAAATGAGTCAAGTGGTCCCCGCTTGGCAGGGCTTCTTGTTGATTCACTGACCGACACCTCCAATGTGTTCTCATGGCCATCAAGCATCTGTTGGACCACAAAAATTCAATCGGATTAAAAAATACCACTCAACAGAAAATGGGACAAAGCCGGCCCTATAAAACAGACAAGCAGATCACTAGCCCAGATAAAACAAACTAACAAACTAGCAGACCACTCAACAGAAAATGGACCAAGTGACCCTTCCCAGTGTTCAAACTCCGAACTTTCTTCTAACAGACTTGCCTAAAGTACATGATTACAACACTCTGCTAGCTCGATATTATTTCAAACATAAAATGAAATATTAATTTTTGTTTGTGCAATAAATTAGTTGGTTGATCTATTAGAATCATTTGCATTTTCTCTGAGTTTGAATTTTGCTAGAACACATTCTATCCTGTAGTATTGAATCTAAGGTTTATAGGAAAACTTCACAAATCACAACATATAATTTTGTCTATAACCTTAGTTTCTTAGCTTGTTTTTCATTGATTTGGAACATGATAATAATTTAAAAAGGTGTGTCTATGCTTCATTATGATCATTCTATATTTTTACGTATTTTACAATGTTTTTACCATATCCATAATTTTTACAATATTTCCATAAGATATTTCTGACATTTCCAACATGTTTCCTATAGTAGGGGAGACGAATTCTGGTTGAGGTTATGGAGATTTGGGAGGGAGAAGGATTCTCTGTGGAGAAGGGCTATTACACGCAAATATGGAGTAATTAATTTTTGGTGGGATTTAAGGGTATTTAAACCATACTATGGGGTTTGTGTTTGGAAGGGGATAATGAATTGTCTTTCAGCTCTTTTGAATTTTGTTTCCTTTAATATTGGAAATGGTGAAAAAATTAGGTTTTGGGAGGACGATAGGTTGGGGATTAGGAAGCTTTGTGATCTATGTCTGTATAGACCGAGTGGAAGAAACTTTTCAATTGCTCAATGTTGTGAAATTATTCAAGGTGTAGTCATGTAGTGAGTGAAGTTTACAAGGTCTTGGAATTTTTGCTTGTGCCTTTTTTGCAGTCTGTTGGGAGCTTTGGAAAGAAAAATATAGAACATTTTAAGACAAAAATACAAATCTCATGATTGTTGTGTTACAAGAATCTGCAATAAGATTATGGGATGGATTCTGATTGTTCCAGAGTTCAAGGGGGACAGCTAAGAGTCTTCTGGATCTGGTTTTTGGAATGTAATGAATTCTGATAGTGAGGTGAATTGATGTTGTGTTCTGTATTTTTTTATTTGGAATTGTTGTTTTGTTTCTCTTTTGGGTGATATCTCATCACCTGTGGTTTATGCCTTGTAATCTTTCCTTTTTATTTTATTATAAAAACGTGAGATACCATTTAAAATAGAAAAAAATCTTTAATATACAAGAATATGCAAATACAAGATTTGAAAGAAATAAAATATTTTAAGTCCATTAGATCAATTAATTAGAATATTAGGTTACTATCGTAAAGGGTGTAGCCTTGTAAGAAAGGGTGCATTGCTCAAATTCTAAATATATCATATTAATAAGTATAACTACAATATATGAAATTATGAATTACCTTTTGAACATAAAACTCAAGGTTAGGCTGTTAACTCATCAAAACATAGCACTAAGACAGGTTAACCCTAAATATGAACCTTGCCTGTGAGCCTAAGAAGCCTTTTAGAATACTGGTCCCTAAAAGAAAGTTGCAAGATGAACGGATATTACATGTTTCAAAATAAGATATTATGTTTGTGTACATAATGTATCAACCTCTACTGACACCACCCTTGGCTTTCACCTGTTGGTCTGACAAGGTTCACATGGAAATACCTTACCCTGCCCAACATTCAATTTGATTCTAACACTTGCAGTAATGTACAATCAATTGCATGGAGAACAGTCATTCCACTCAAGACAATGGGTCTAATCACATGATCTAAAAGGAAAATAGTGAAGTTTTCATACTAGTTCATTTCTCACTGGAGAATAAACTAGACAGTATTACAAATAAAAGCGAGTTTCCTGAGTTTTATTTTTCCCCATTTTAGATGTCCTTACAACTAAAATGCCAATCAAGGTATTCAGTATTTTAGTATGAATCTTGGTGCACTATATTCTGCATGAACAAACAGGACCTTTTCCCCTTGTCAAATAAGAAATCAATGAACTACATGAATAACAAATGGCTCACACAACAGATGATTTTAACTATACAGTGGGTGGGAAGGGAGGCCAATGCATTGGCTGATTCTCTAGCTAAGCAAGGGGTAACTAAGGATCAGATGTACTGGGCCCATTTGTAAATCTGCTATATATTTTTGTTAAAGAGTGAGGCTGCACCTCGTGCCTGACACTGAGATGCTTGTAACAGATGTAATCCTTTGATTCTAATGAAATTTAATGAAAGTTATTTATCAAAAAAAGCTACATGAAAAACAAAACATATTGAAAATGTAAATTTGATGTAGGAAAGAAAAAGAACCAAGAAAGAAATGGAAATGACCTGTCCCAGGTTTTCCAATTTGCTCTGCACCACATCCCTGCAAAACAATCATAAAAAACATCCCTGTATAACCATGTTCCATACAATAGAGATTTCCTAATAATAGCACTCCACAATGAAACAATTATACTCCATTTCAAATAATATGAAAAATAAAAGGAATGTGACAACGTACCAAATAATGTCATCAACTGTATCATTTGCTAGCAGGTAGTATATGTTGACCGATGACACCTACCAAAATTACAAAATCCATCAAAAATTAAAATGACATGTTTATACATACCCTACAGAATAAGAAGTAAACTGAAGTTGATTTGACTACCAGTGTTTTAAAAGCAAGAAGCAAAGCTAGAGTGCAGGTGCAGCTATGATACCCAATGCCTGTTCCTGGGTGCCCTATTGTGTCAGATACTTAAAACTTAGTGTAAATTTCATATCCGACACATATCCAATTTGTCCTTGCCATATAGAGGTAACATAAAATTGCAAGGGTTCCACAGCTTGAGACAAGGTAATAGGAATCGATTAGGGCTGTCAATGGGTCAGTTCTGGGTTGGGTCCAGGTAGAACCGGAACCGACCCAACAGGGAATACTCCGGAATCGAACCGGACCCGATAGGATCTATAATTTTAGACCAAGAACCGAACCGATCGGTTCGCGGTACAATTGGGTCTGACCTGATGGACCCGATTATAATAAACCTACTGAAACTATTATATATACAATATTAATCTATTTAATATTTTATACATTATATACACACACAACATATTTGGAATCAGAACCTACCCAAACGGTTCAGGTCCATCGGGTCCAACCTGACCCATTGACAGCCCTAGATCGATCAGCACCCTTCAAGACTTATTCCAGAAAGGACTTACAACAGGTCCCGATATGGTATATTGATGGTACTTGGGAAGTTGTTATTTTTCTGTAGGGTCCAATAATAGGGTTTGATTGTCTATTTATAGTTTGCTTATATTTAAAATTTCAGTCATTGCATAAGTAGGAGTAAAGTTACCGAGTCTTCTTTGAATTGAAATAGGATAGACAATTTTGTTTGATTCAGTAGTCGATCAAGACTACAGTCAGTCTTGAATTCCAACAGATTTCGGATTGAGAAAAGTAGAAGAAATGGGGAGAAGAAAGGAGAAGAAAGCAGAAGTACACAAGGGTTTTGAAAGGAGGGACAGATCGAATGAATCTGCCGCTGCCACTCTCTCAATATTTATAGATTATGTTCACTAAATGTAGGAAAGGGCAGAATTGCCCTTAATGCTTACATGGCAAATAAAAACAAATAATAAACTGAAATAACAAGCTGTCTAAGATAACTACCAACTAACACTGATATAACTAACAAAGGTTACATGTGCTGTCATACGAACACAGTGGGGACCGCAGCAGTGGGGCCCACATCAGTGTTCTCTACAGATTCCTACTAGGATTATTATGAGTCTAACTGTTTGACTCCTAGGAATGTTATGAGTCTAACAGTAAGAGTCTATAAATATGTATGGGCATTTTACACAGAGCAATGAAGTTTATCAAGTTTTCATCAGCTTATGCTAATTATGGTGAGTGATTCCCATAGCCTAGAGTATTTCTAAGCATCCCATGAGTGATCCCGGGTATTTTCTCTCTTCTTTCTCTCCCTATTTTCTTTCTTATTCCTTCAAGAAGCCATTAGAGACAACAACAACCATAAATTCCTGATCAAAGAAGACCATTCAACATTTTCTAAGGACTAGAATTGAAGTGAGGCACTGATTATGTAATAAAAAACAAAATAACAACTAAATATACAAGAATATGCAAATCTAAACTAAAAGAAAGAAAATATATCAAAACAACCATTAACTCAAAAGGTGCCCTTGTATGTTCAAGGCCAACATAGGCCAAACTATTTAAACTTATCATAATTATGATATGACCATGGTTCACAATATTGGCGATATTCAGCAAAATATCCCTGAAATATCCTCATTTGCTAGGTGGCGATACGAATTCCGGGAATCCTATTTCTTTCCAAATATCCTCTATATTTTTCCGAAATGTCAGCAATATTTCAATTTTCAATACTTCATTAAAATCATGGGGAGTTTATGATTTGATAATTGGCCTACTATTTTGATATGATTATGTTGAGATTGGGCCAATTTTAAGTTATTGGGCCCAGCTTTGTTTTATTTTTATTTAATTTATTCAGTTAGGAAGTTATTGGGCCTTAGGCCCATTAGTTTATGTTAAGTTTAAGTTGTGACTGTTCAGCTATTTAAAGTAGCCACCCTACTAAGGGTATCATTGTACTTTTTCATTCTTTTATTTAAGTATATAAATTAAGAGGGGTTGGTGGCCGGACCTATTCAATTCTGGCGACATCCAGGGGCGGAGCTAGAATTTTTTCTTAAGGGGGGCCAAAACCTAGAAAACATGGATAGGGGGGACCAAAAACTAAGAAACATGGGTAAAGGGGTCAAAATATAAGTGGAATTTAAATGGATTTTGTGGGAATTTTGAAGGCAAAGGGGGGGCCATGGCTCCCCTCCACCACCCCCTGACTCCGCCCCTGGCGACATCCCACTCTCTTTTCTTCTTCTCTTTCTTTCTCTCTTGCTGAAACCTTTCAGCTTCTACTTCTTTTCTTCACAAAGCATATATCAAAATCAATTATCAGCAACTTCTACTGATTAAATTACCAAGTCACTATAATTCAAAAGAAAAAGAAGAATGCGCACGTATACTATTATAAAGTGGATACTTGCCTACTTGCCTTAGTTTTGGTGCAGGTGATAAAAGTAAAATTTGATTATATAATGCAAACTTATATCTTTACCATTTACTTGCACACATGCATAGCACATACCCTTATACTAGTAACTACAAAAGACTATTCTCAATCTAATCAAAACATATAGTAATAAATAAAAACAGAAGTTAAAATGGCAAGTAATTGACATATAAGAAGAGAAGATGGCGGCAGATCTATATTTGATCCAATTATAAAAAGTCAACACAAGGACAAAACCCTAATTGACTCATACAACTCTTAGATCAATCAATTAAAACATTAATCATTTCTATATAACAACCATTAAATGACACAATTTCTGAAGAAAGATCATTCAATGAAACTCTGCTTTACATAGAGAAAATGATACGAAAAGAGTTCTTATGTCCAAGTGAGAAAAAAAATTAGTTTTAACACTCCTCTGCAGTGACATGGTAACTAAAGAGATTGAGGACCCAGAGTCTGCACTGAAAATCTTCAATTGTTTGCACTGGAAAGGGACTATAGTTTTTGTTCTTAAACCATAGAGGGTATAATGCATTCATAGAAGAATAAAAGAAAACGAAGAGGAGCACATAGTAAATGGGAAAAGCTTATCAGAAGATGATGTAGCATGTTTCATTTTCTACTTTTTTTTTTTTTATAAAGAGTATGCTTCTTGGGGTGACATTCCCTGTCCTCGTCTTCAGCTATTGCAATTCTTTTGAAATATCAAATTTAATTCTTTTAAAATGTCAAATTCTATAAATGTACTATAGCAAACTAATAAAATTATTTATAATTTTATAACTTAAATTTTAAAATCATTTCATTCAGGCCCAACCCATGATCACCCCAAGCTGTGCTCAGAATTAATTGATGGGTCTACAAGTTTAACAAGAATTGACTAGACTCATTCTATACCTATAAATTGCAGTTTTTTTTTTTTTTTTCCTTTTTTTCTTGTGATCAGCAGGACAGCTTTTATGTATTAGAAGAGAAAACAATCATGTTTATGTATACAAACCATCTAGATATTGCTCCATGTTACCTGGCCAATCCTATGAGCACGATCTTCTGCTTGTATTATGTCACCTGGAGTCCAAGACAGTTCGGCAAAGATGACTGTGCTTGCTGCTGTTAATGTTAGTCCAACACCTCCAGCTTTAATCGATAACTGCACAGTATTTCAACTTAGACTTGAACCATTGCCGGATGAGCAATTTTACTAGTTAAAAGTAGCCATGTCATACCACAGCAGCCTTGATATCATCTTTCTCCTGAAAATCTGATACTAGAGTTTGCCTTGATGATGCTGGGGTACCCCCATCTATTCGAATACAACCAACCTTCTTGTTCTGGAATTTTGATAGTTACGAATGAGAATTGATAAACTTACAAGAAAAGCCAAAAAGGATTCAAGTGATCTTACACGCAGAAATTGGAATATTGCATCAATCATAGCCTGGTGATGTGCAAAAATTAGGAACTTGCAACCTGCCTGCATCAGTAAGTGGAAAACAAAGATTATTACAACAGTAACTTGAATTAATATTATTACCATCAAGAAAGGGGGGATGTGGCTAGGGGATCACTGCAGGCCAGACCAATAAAAAGGTGTAGCTAACCTGCCGTCTTAAGGTTTGGATATGTCTTGCATAGGACAGTCAAATAGAGATCTGAAGAAACAACTACAGCAACATTGATAACTCAAAATCTGCTAAGAGTGTCAGGGCATCCACGTACCCAACCACGTCTGAATTCCACAGCATATACCAACAGGCACTCAACCAGCAAACATTCAACCATATTTGGGATAATAACTTTATAAATTTTACTGATGCTGCAATAATGAATTTATACATAGATTATATGTAGGGATGATCAGTTCTCCTGGGACCACATTGCCAGGCTCAGAATTTAGCATATAATTTTTAAAATACATGTGCATATGTATGAATTTATACATATAATTTTTAAAATACATGTGCATATGTATGGATTTATACATATAATTTTTAAAATACATACATATATACATACATACATACATACATATGTATGTATATATATCTTAACAACATATAGTAAACTTTTAAATATATTTTTTGTAATTTTGAATACAAAATTAGATTTAAATTTAAGTTTTCCTAAATTAGTTTTACTAACTTATGCAGGAAAGCCCAGATGCTAAATCCAGGCCAGGCCTGGGCATATATTGTCAAACCCACATCCCAGGCTAGACCTGGTCTGGGCAGTGGAAAATGCTCTCTTACTACCATCTAAAAACCTAGATGAGGCACAAGCCATGATAATCTCTAGTAATATAGCAGAAAGCAAAAAATCTTTAACACCTTGGATTGTGCATATACAGTCCCTTAACACACCTATTGACAGTATTCTGTAAAGATAGAACCCAAATACAGCACTTCCCTTTGGATCAATGTCATTGCTAAAGAATCTGTTAGAACATTAGATGATTTCCTAATCAACAAGATCCAGTGGCTACTAATGTTTGTGAATATTTCCATGGGCCTGTCCGTTAACCTGTTATCCAGCCCACTACCACATTTGGATCTCCTTCAATTTTTAGCCTCCAAATCCAAGAGATTTTGCTAATGTGATTCATTGCAATAAGGAGAAAATTTTGGCTTTGATGGAAGCCCCCATCTGATCACTACAGAAGCAGCCAACATGTCAACCATTAAAGAAAATGAATAAGCAAGGAGAGAAATAATTACCTCAATGACAGTTCCCAGGTAATCAAGGACTGCAGGAATCTTGGCTTCAGCAGAATCGGTATAAATCTGGAATCCATGACAGGTTTTTTTATGGGTGAGGGGTTAGAAATTTGAGAAGAAATCAATATCAGATATAAAAAACATATATTAGTGTCTACGAAAACATGTTTTGCAGAAAAAATGGTATCTAACAACAAAATCAGAGAAAAGTAACACTAAAATGATGGCCACTTGTTTGATGGACCAAAATGAGACCGATGACAAAGTTGAGGTACATCGTGCTGGAGTCATGTACAGTTACTGACATGCAAGTTTTGTTTTTTACCTTCAGATAGATTGTTAGTTTATTTTGGAGTTAATCAGATTAGTTTTTCTACTCTCTATCAGATGGCATAATCAGTCAAGGAATGCCCCTTCATAAGAAACTTAAAATTTACTAGATTTCCATCTCAATAGGGATGTTTTTTCGGTCGGTTTAGTCATTCTCTTAAACCGAACCAAACCGAACTAGTTGTGATAAATGAACCGAATAATTCAGTTGGGTTAGGATGGGCCCATTAACAATGGTGTTTCCATACCTTCATCATTCTACCTTTATATATTTTGTTCTGTAAAAATCATACTTGGAAGAATGTAGAAACGCTACTTGAGACTTGAGAGATGATGGTCAGATACAAAGAAGAGAGAGACAGGAGGGGGAGGGACGCCTCACCCAAACGCCTAACATTTAAATGCAAGACACTACATAATGTATTTATATTTTTATTCTATGGTACTAATAGTAGTATAATAGATATTATTAGACTAAATTATTCATATTTTGGGTTGATAGTACTATTATTATTATTATTTTTCTTTGATAAGTAAAGAATCATATTCCATTAATTCAAAGATTGGTTACATGGAAATCCCCTTAGAGAGGCGTGAGGTGCTGCCACTCCATACAGAAAACACAAAAACTATACCAAAAAGTGCATGACTGTTAAAAAACACAAATTACAGTTGCACCAAGAACAATATTTCCCTGTTTGTCCCTTGTTTTTCCAAGACATCAACAAATGCATTAGCTGATCTCCCAACCCACTGTACTGTTACAAACATATTCCTTGTCAGCCATTTGAATTTCTTTATCTCACTCTTGTAGTCCCACATGACATCCTCGGGATTATCTAACCAGTTCACCACTGTCTTAGAGTCCCCTTCAACCAGAAGCTGCTCCACACCCATTTCTTTAGAAAGAATTATTCCTTGTATTGCAGCTAACGGCTCTGCCCGAATAGAGTTCCCAACACCTAAAGGGCCATAGTATAGTAAGACAGCCTCTCCAGCCTCATTCCTTAGTACACCCAATCTAGAGGGACCCAGGTTGCCCTAGCTACTCCCATCAAAATTCAGCTTCAAAAAACCGTGAGGAGGGGGGAACCGGCTTGTCATTACCTTTACCTTGGAAGAGGAAACAACTTGCTAATAACCAATCCCTCCAACAGTCAGTAAAGAAGAAATGGTCAAACAAATCTAGAGTCTTTAACCAATGTATTGCCTTATACAAAATGCAGTCCTTCAAGGCCTGACTGCTCCTCCCCTTTTCCTGGAAGATTTGGGCATCCTTTCTTCCCAAACTGTCCATAACAAGGCTGCTTGTGCACACCTCCACATTTTCCTTCCTCTTTTATGGGGGCAATGGAACATAGAAGGGTTAAAAATCGTACTTCTATCGGCATATCCCATCTACACCCAAACAATGATAGAAGCCAAACCCAGAGCTCTACAATGATACTATAAGATAAAAATAAATGATAACAGTCCCCATAATGAGATCTACAAAGAGTGCACCAGTTTGGAGAAATACATAGGAAGGGTCTTCTCTTTTGTAGGTTATCCATTATGCTTACTTTATCAAGCCACACTTCCCAACACAAAGCCATAACCTTGGGGAGAACCGGCCTACACCAGCTTCTTTGGAAGGGAAACTTTGTTGGGAGGAGTTTTGGCACAAGAGTTTTGTTGAAAGGAACCACAAGAAAAAGACCCATTGGGGTGAATGGCCCAAATCCTCTTATCAGGCTTCAAAGGGTCCAACCAAACCTTATCGAGGAGACCAAGAAGAGCAGACAAGCAATCAACTTCATCCTCCCTTAACCCTCTACGGAAACCAAAATCCCAAGACAAAGACAACAAATTTAAAATCGAAGGAAGGAATTTTGAATCACATCTTTTTTATACAAAGAAAGAGAGTACAAGGATGGAAAAAGGTCTTTTAGGGGAAGATCTCCAGCTCAAATGTCCTCCCAAAACCGAATAGAATTACCAGAACAAGCATTATACCTGATACAACTGAGGAAATGCAGAAAAATTTCATGAATTGCTTTCCATGGAGTTGCTAGGTTAGCCCTCCTTGAAGCACCAACATCCCATCCACTCTCTGAGCATCCATTTGGCTTAGATTTAACTATACTAACCATAGCTGACTGATCAATCCCAGGTTGTCTCAACATGGCATTCCTCCTACTCTCCCCTCCAAAGACAAAGGCATAAGCTTGAGAAAGAGTCACACTTTCTCTAGAAAGGAGATGTTGCCTAGCAATGTCGAATTCAGGATTCAACCCAACCAAGAACTCAAAAACCCTATTCTTTCCTACCAACCTCTGATAGGTTGTTGCATCCTTCATACTCTCCCAAACCACAGTTTCAAAGTGGTTGATCTCCTACTAAAGAGTTTTCAACATGGAGAAATAGATGGCAAGAGGTTTATCTCCCTATTTTGTATTAATCATAGTTTCTAGTTACATTTTGTTTATGGGAATAGGTTTCAGTCACTCCATCCCAAATCTCCTTTGCAGTATTAGCCCACAAAAAATTTTTACCAATGTGAGGTAACATAGAGTTACACAGCCAGGTCATCACCATGAAATTATCTTGTACCCATCGGGAGGGATCTATATCAGGTTTCTTCTCCTCCCCAGTGGCGTACCCCAGTTTCCCACGAGCACCAATGGCCATCTTGGCTGCTTGTGCCCATTCTAAATAACTTGTACCATCAAACTTCACTGTAGTAATAATTCCAGACCCAAAAATATCACTACTACCTCCAACACCTAGACCCATGTTACCGATAGATTTCATCTCGGTATTCTAACTCTCCATTTTACTTCAAATAGTTCAAAAGCAGAAAAAAAAGGTAGAGAGCCTCTAAGATCAAATTGATCTCACACACAAAGGTAAGAGACCTTTCCGGAAGAAGAAAACCCTATCTAGAGAGAAATCTCTCTCCTCCCACTATCTTCCACCGGAGAAAAAAGTGAATCGGCCACTCCAAAAGGCCTAGAAAATTCCAGAAACCTAACAGCCCCCTATAGAATACCTAGAGAAGTCCAACAATACCTGAGTGCCCAAGATCAGATCAAAATTGAAGAGTCCAACTTGACTAGGACTCTTCTCCGCACTCCAATTCTTCCTGATTTTGATGCCAAAACATAGATCACCCTCCTGATCACTAGATTACACCAAAAAATCCAAGAACTGGGCAATCAGAAGTAGATCAATCAAACATTTATCTCCTCATGCAATCGGCTGATCTAGGACTGCATGAAAAAACTTCAAGAAACCCTAACCTTGCTCTAATACCAAATAGAAAGGTGCTGAAATAAAAAATCTGTAAAAGAAAAGAATATTTCTTGAAGAAGAGAACAAAGGAGAAAAGGAAGAGAAGAGATTTGAGAGAGAAAAGAGAGCACTAATGCTGGCTGCCCTCTTCACTATAATTTATAATCTGAAATAATAAAGAGTACAAAGAGAAATATGCCCTTATAGGGTGGCTAACACATAAAACGGCATAAAACAATTAAAATAACTGCTCAAAAAGGACCCAACAAGAGTGTTGTGGTCCTTGCTTCCTATCTAAACAATAAATAATAAAAAACTACCACTATAGACTACACAATTTGTCTAAAACCTCAACACAAACAATGGGTCAAAAGGGGACAGATGCATTAGGCTCCATTGTAATACCTCTCTTTGGGGTCCTCATGTGTACATAATACATATATTCCATTTATATTAATGAAATCTGTTGATTGTTATTTAGCCAAAAAAAACAATACATTATTTACCATTTTTGTTTTGGTTTGCCTCACACATTTCATGGATCTAAAAAATTAAAATGTAAATAATTATGAAGCCTTCTTACATCCATTTACTCTTATTCATACAAACTAATACAATAAGGTTTAGCTGAACCAAACCTAAAATTTGTTTCATCTCCCATACAAAAATAACAAGGTGAGGCTTAAGGCAAGCAAAAAAACACCTTACTGCCTAAGCATTGCCTTAACAACTATGAAATCCATATGCAGTTCTCAAGAGTCAAAAATCATGAAGAGAGATGATCATAGGATGGACAAGCAAAGCAGGGAATGAACAGACAGCAGCTTGTTTTGGTTACAAATGGGATTATGAATGTAAACATTGGCAGCTAAACGTTTATATTTGGGGTTTGGGCAGCATACCTACCCTGTTTGAGGGTGCTAGGCATTGCTTGTATATGCTCATTCTTTGCTTACAATCAATAAAAGTTAATCTTTTATCCATCAAAGCATACCAAATGTATAAAGACAAATACCAAAATTTCAATCACTGAGAAATTATGAAACTGTCACACAATTACATAGAAGTAAGCTTTAGCAAGAATAAGAGAGCATTATGAGATTGCCACAGGAGTGGTCTTAGTTTCAATAAAATTTCACAACAATTACCACCAGTCTCACACTCTCACCAAGTTATTTCCAACTAAAGTGTTGACAGATCAATTATGATGTTATCCATTTATTGGGCCTGTTCTATGGTTCTTGTAGTATACGTTGTTATGTGGGTTTTATTATGTTCTTTATTGGGCTTATGGGCCTCTTTTTTTCTCTTAATTGCTGCCATCGAGATCTGATTGAGCTTCTCACAACTTTTCTATCTTCTTTTCTTCTATACTACTCCTTTCCCTTTTTTCTTGCTTCCAACTTCTTTCTTCCATGGATTAACTCTAGTATTTTCTGTTGCTGCAATCAATCAACTCAAAGAGAAGAACTTTGTCACAGGAAAGTTAGCATATAAAATAAAAATATATAAAGTTTTGAGTACCTTATTGATTAGATTTTTCTCAGAAAATTTAAGTGATTCAACCTCCTCCTTCAAATTGCAAGCCTTAATTTTGTTTTTCACCACCTCCAACTGTAGAAAGAACAATTAGCAGAAATAAGAGATCCACAAAAAGAACTGCAAAAAATAGCTTTTCACTCGTGCAGATGCATAATATAGAATCTTTCATTATAAAACAAAAATTACAGAAGCACAATAAATGTCACATGACAGAAAGACAAAATCAGCAAAGAAAATCACAATGAGCAACTAATAATTGATATAGATGCATTGGTTAAAGAAATTTCAGGAGAAATATCCTGCTTTTGGAAGAGTTTGTTTCATCAGGATCCACAGGCATCTCCGAGGCCCCCTTGTGGCTAAAGAAACTTTATTGGTGGAAAGAGAAAAAGGAAAAGATAAAACCCAGCTTGATTGAGAACTATTACTTGTTTGTCCATTTAAGAACACATATGGTCCTTCTAACTACTCTTCAGCCCTAGTGGAACTTGGAATCAATCAGAAATTTTATTAACTAGTAAAGAAGAATTAATGATGCACACCATTGTAGGCCATCTAACCAACCACCATCAGTTTGTGATTACATTAATTCAATATTTCCTCAATGGAACTACCCCCCAGAAGAGTTTGTCCCCATGGGCTCCTTGTCTAGCCAGGGGATCAGCTATACCATTGGCACTTCTAGCTGCCCTACATTGTTCTAAATCCTAGCATCAGATATCTATATCTCCATGTTCCAACATTGTTATAACCGAATCAACCCATCACTATTTTGAATTTCCTTCTACAATAATGTTCCTATAGTTGAGATATCAGCACAATCTTAACTCCTGTAGAACTTCTGTTCTACAATAATGCACCCATCAATGTTCATGTTGATGAAAGAATGTTTAGGTGGTATCCATGGGATAATTGCCCATGTTCTCGTGGTTGAAAAGTTCACTATGGTTTCCCAATTCCTTGTGCGATATCATCATTGGTGAAGCAAGTAAAACTATGCAAAGTTGTACCTAAATCACCATAATAGTTGCTATTTATGTTTCCATTTTCTGGCTAGTGTTCCTCCAAAGTACCTAAATCACCAATAACTGCTCTAGTGTTCCTCCAAAGTACTTACCCCTCGGTGCTATTTATGCTTCCATTTTGTGGCTTTTACTAGGGTATCCATATGAACCCAAGGAATTCACCTACAACCAAAAAATGCAAAGGACAAAAAGCCCAAATTGCAGATACTAAGGATCATGAGATTAGTAAGTGTAAGGTAGACTCACAACTTCCACCACACAAAACACACATGTTAGGAGAGATACACCAATTGGGCATTTCCTTTTGAAGAAGTCCACGTGTATTGATTTTCTCATTAACAACATCCTAGCAGAAAGCCCTAAATTTAGGTGGAGAGGGGCTAGGCCATACAGCCTTTAAAGGGAAAAGCAACTTAGCAGATGGAATCCAAGAAATTCACCATAAGAAGAAGCACAAGAGAACATATTGGAACACAATCACAAAGTGAGTTTATTCAAATAAAAATTATTTAAAGACTCAAGAGAAGAAGAGGCATCACAGATTTCAGGATTCCTTCCCCCCCCCAAAGCCAAAGCCCTTAGATGACAAAGAGAAAAAGATTGGGAACTAATGCAGGAGAACAGGTCTAACAGATCTGTTGTACTGCTATTTACAGCAAAAATCATCCAAACTAATTGAAAATTTCTTAAGCTAGATGTAATTGCATATCCTCTTTTTTCTTCCCTTGACAGCAGCCAATAATGTTCTCATACAAGAAAAATAGCTAAATTCAGGCATTTTACTACTTCACTTTCTTGCTCTTTTTAGATTTATCATGTGTTTCTTCATAACTAAGTGCAGTAATCTCTACATCAAGAATCATTCTTTAAATGATTGTTCCCACCACCATAAATCATACCAAATTTTAGTATTGCCACCTGCACGAACCTTAAATCTGATGGAACGAGGAAATAACTAGGGTAACCTGTCTGACTCCACTAAGAACCTCCATAACCACTTTCCTAAAAGGCAGGGTTTGTTCAAAACTCAACTGATTATTCTTTGTTTACCCTCAGGAGTTCCCGTGGCATCACTTTGTTGTTTGTTTATGTAGACAATATTCTTATTACAAAAGATGTCAGTGATGGCATTTCTTCCTTGAAGCAGACTCTCAACCATTCATTCAAGACGAAGGACCTTGGTCCCTTGTCTTACTTCTTGGGACTAGAAGTGTCCCACTTTTTATCAGCAAAAGAGATTAATTTTATTAATGGGTGGTAAAAGTTTAACAGATTGGGTATCCATTCACCCGAAAATACAGAAAAGAACAATGTCCATAAAACTATTTTACAATAGAGCCTAGAATAACTGCTGCCTCAATACCCCTTGTTTATCTAAAGTACCAGCCATCCCATTAGCCGTCCTGCATGTCCAAGTAAAGGATGCATTCAAGTCCCCTTTCAGACTGTCTATCTCCCTTTCAGACTACCTGCTCATCCTTTAATGAGCCCCTTTCTCCTATAGGACCTGAGTCCATTGGCAGCACCTTACTTGAGGAGTCTCTAAACACACCACCAATACCTGCCATCCCTGGGTTTCCCATAGAGCTCCCATCAAAATTTAACTTTATCTTATCCCTTGCTGGTGGCTTCCATTCCATCATCTCTCTAATCTTTTGTTTCAAAAAGTGTGCCACCTTATTCCAAACCCTTATTATATCAGTCACTGTAAAACACTGGTAGATGTCAGGAGTTTTTTTTTTTCCAATGAGCCACTTTATGTTTTATTAATTCCACCAACTCCTCCTTTGACCTAAGCTTCTCCTTAAATATTCATGCATTCCTCTCCTTCCAAATGGTCTACACCACAGCAGCTCTTTAGTGCCTTCCACATCGTTCTCCTTTTTGTTGGCTGTCTTAGGAAATTTGGAATGAAGAGACTCACTTCATCCTGGGGAGTGATCCACCTACAACGAAAAAAGAGAACAAAAGGATTCCAAAGAAAGCACACATGTGGAGAAATACATCAATTCAGCCTCCTTTTTTGAAGCATATTGCAGGTGTTCGCCTTTCCAAGAAAAACCGCCCAGCTAGGGATGTTGAAATTTGGATAAAAAACCGAAAACCAAACCGAATAAGCAAATTTGGTTCGGTTAATTTGGATATTGGTTCGGTTTGGTTTTTGATATGTGAAAAAAGCGGTTTTCGGTTTTGATTCGGTTTGTCCACAAACTTTAAATGAACAAAACCGAAAACCGAACTACCATTCCTACATGCTAAATCTCTCTTTGGGCTTTGGGCCCTTATATAGTATTAGTAAAATCAATTACTAATTTACTTCTTTACAGTCTTCACTAAGGCCCCATTTGGAAGGAGTACAAATAAAAAAATATATACTGTGCAAATACATATAAAATAATACAAAATATAAGGTTTTGCGCTCTACATATTTGTATTTGTACTCCTTCCAAACAAAGCCTAATTAGTAATTACTAGTTAATAGTATCTAGTAGCAGTAAGTGCTAAAGTGGATGTGGGAAACTGGTAATTGCCAAATTGGGATATTGACATATTGTGATTGATTTGGGAAACTCAAAAGACACAGCTAGCCAGGAAGGAGCTAAACTATCAAGTTTCCAATTTCCAGTGGAAAGTGGAAACTAGACATGAATCAGTCCTCTAAAACTGAAATAAACTTGGTTAAAATTAGAGAGAAAAGAAGAAGAAAAGTAAAGGACAGCAGTACAAAGGAAGAAGATGGAGAAAAGAAGAAGAAGAAGAAGAGTTCGATAATCTCCTCTCTTCCCTCTCTAATCCTTTTGTTAATCTTCATTCATTAGAATAATTACAAGTATGCCCTTAAGTGGGCGGCCAGCTAAGCAGAAACTTAAAGTATGCTTACGAAAAGAGATAACAGGCCCATTAACAAACAAATAAGTAACACACTACAAGAATAGATACTAGGGCCCATTTGGCCCAGTCTCTCTACACTCCCCCTCAAGCTGAGCATAGATGTCAATCATGCCCAACTTGCTTATATAGTGTGTCAGCTTCCCGCTTGGAACTCCCTTGGTCAAAACATCAGCCAACTATTCTTTTGAGGCAATAAATGGCAAGCAAACTTCTTCTGAGGAAACTCTTTCCCGTATAAAATGTCTATCAACCTCAATGTGCTTAGTTCTGTCGTGTTGAACAGGATTATGCGCAATAGTGATAGTTGCCCGGTTGTCACAATAGAGCATCATTGGCTTTTCATACTCAACCCCCAATTCTTCTAAAAGTGACCGCAGCCACAGTAATTCAGACACACCATGTGCCATTGCCCTATATTCTGCTTCAGTAGAGGATCTGGCAACTATAGATTGTTTCTTACGCCTCCATGAAACAATGTTCCCTGCCACCAAAGCACAATATCCCGAGGTGGATCTCCTATCATCAATACATCCAGCCCAATCAACATCAGTGTATGCCTCCAGCTTCATGTGTCCATGTTTGGCAAATAGAATACCTTTCCTTGGAGTACCTTTCAAGTAACACAGAACTCTTTCTACAGCAGCTAAATGTGTATCTCTAGGAGAATGCATAAACTGACTTGTTAGACAGTTATGCCCTTAGTTCCAATCAGATTGATGTATCTTTTGACATTTATTGTAAATGAACAAAGTACATAATTGATTCATGTCATTGTGGTGTGTTTCTGTGTAATACCCTTAAACTGGACACTTATGAGACTCGTGTTAGTTTAGAATCTTCACAGCCGTTGGATAGACCTGGGGAGATTTATCCTGCCAAGGCTAACACTGATGTG